GGACTCAACCCGCGGTTGACTACATGGGAGTTCAGTGACATAGCCATTACGCTAACTGCTGGTCCCTATGGGTTTGTTTTTTTAAAGACACATATTAGAGAATTCATGTTACTCATGGACTAGAATGCATTTGTAAGTAAATTTAAATTAAAACACATTCCTGCAGAATCCACCTGTTTAACAACAGGCTGGGTACAAGTGGGAAAAATTTTTTAAAAGTATAGAGTCTAGAGGCAGGAAGATAATCCTCAAGGCATGATTGTGAAAAAGACTAAGACATCACAAATTGGCTATACATTTTCACTCCCATTTCAGTTTAATGCTTTGTCATGCCAAACTAAGCCCTCTGGAGAACCAGTTGTAAATAAAGCTTCCCAAAGGAAAAGTAAATCAGATAGCTGATGCAAGTCTTGGGCCCAAAATGCTAAGTTTTAGATGAAGCCTGTTCAACACTGTAGGAAGGAAGCTGGAAACAGTTAAGGAATGATTTTAAAAAAAAAAAAAAGAAAGAAAAAGATAGGAAGAAAGAAAGTGAGTGCACTCACAGAGAGAAACAGAGGAGGAGGAAAGTGAGAAAGCACCCCCCCACCCCCGGGGGATGTTCACACCACAATCTATTCTCTTTCAGCTCTCCTTTCTCTCAGAATTTAGGCACATGTAAACATGGCACCTGGGATGTCTTTCAAGTCACCAGGTCTGGGGTTCAAATCATGGCCATGCGGGATCCAGCTACCTTAACCACACTACTGGCTGGCCCAGTGTTTTTCAAACCACCAGGGCTGGGGCTGGAAACACAGCAGATAAAGGAGGATCAGATTCCAATGCACTGTGCTTAACCACTATGCCAGAGACCAATTTGAAACAAAACTTCTCCAATAAAACATTGCTATGCTTCTGGTCTTCACAAATGACTTTTTCTTTTGTTAACTGAGGCTGGATAGTAAAACAACACTCTGTAGGCCCTTCTTAACAGGCACAATCTATCAATACTCCAGGAAGAAAGGGGGAATAAATAAAATCTTCTAAAGGACAATGTCTTGGTCTGTTGCAGCACCATTGACAAAATACCTGAGATAGAATGACTGATAAAGAAAATAGGGGTTTAGGTGCAAAACTCAAGATTCTGATGGCTAAAAGTCCAAAGGCATCACAAAATAGTGGAAGGCAGAACTCAGCAGAGTGGAGTCTGGTCTGTATTCGAGTGGTTCTGCCTGGTTCATTTCCTCTCCAATCCCGGGACCCCATCCTAACAACTTTATCACACCCAAAGGCCCAACCCCACACCAAGAAGGAATCAGGTTTTCCCTTAACTTGGCAATACACTCAGGTTCAACACATGAACCCTTAGGGGATGTCCAATCACCATCCAGCAAGACCAAATTCCCAAACATAAGCCTTGGGGGACAAATCATTATTTCAGTCATGAAAGATGATCATGTTAAAAGAACAAGAAATAATGTTGATTTTAAGTTCAAACCAACAGAATATACAGCTATTTTCTGTATGAAAACTAGGAACGTTTTAGCTACCGAGCCTGTCATTTTCTACTAAATATTAGAGATATTCTACTTAAAGTTCCTGGTACTGTTTTTGTATATGATGCCATTGCTAACCTTTACTACTTAGCCTTGACCAATGAAGAAGGGCGGAATGCTAACGTGACATTTTAAAGACTGAAATGAGTCTTTTTTATTTATTTCTTTTTTTCTTTTTTTGGAGAGGTTTTCGCTATAGGGCGTGTGCGCTTGCCAGACAGACAGAGAGAGACAGAGAGACAGAAAGCGAGAAATCATCCCCCAGGGGGGATGGTCACGCCGCAATCCCTTCTCCTCCATTCTCCTCTCAGGATCTTGGGCATGCATGCACACACGCCCGGCGTGAGTTTTAAGCCACCGGGTCCGGGACGCGAACTGCGGTCGACTACATGGGAGTCCAGTGACATAGCCATTACGCTAACTGCTGGTTCCCTGAAATGAGTCTTTCTAGCAGTTCTTCATATAGTTGTCATTTCAGTCAATCTCACTATTAAAGTGCATTTACATATTTAAAAAATTCTACTGATTAAAAGAAATCATAAAGAACTTTTTAGAAATCAGAGGTTTTGTTTTGTTTTGTTTATTTTGGCTATAGAGCATGTGTGCTCACCAGAGAGACAGACACAGAGAGAGAAAGTGAGAAGTCACCCGCCTGTGGGAAGATCATGCCACAATCCCTTCTCCTCTACTCTCCTTTCAGGATTTTGGGGATGGACACACCCACACCCCTGGCATGATTTTCAAGCCATTGGGTCTGGGACTTGAACCAAGGCTGACCATGTGGGAATTCAGGGCCTTAACCACCATGGCACCTGCTAGCCCAGAAAACTTTATGTACTTTAGGAGAGAATATATCATAAACAATGAAAGTGGACCCCTTTCCACAACTGTATGTTTATTACATACACTTCTGTATTATGGCACACAAAAACTATCTTATATAAGTGCAGTGGCTGTTGGCACAGTGGTAAAATGTGACGTTCTGCAAGGTTAACCCACAGGAAAAGGTTGCTGGTTCACATCTGGAGACCTCCCTGAGTATGGAGGCATGTGTGTGCCCATGATCCGAGCTGGCTGAGGCTGGCAGTGGAGTGTGGGTCAAGACTCTGTGCTGCATCTCTGTCTGTCTCTCTCTCACACTAATGGAATAAATAAACTTAAATAAATAAATAAACACAACTTTCACATTGGTAATGGCTAAGACAATGAATAACAGAGAATAACAATATGGATCAGGTCAACTGGCAACTGGGACAGATGGAAGTAAATAAACATAAGGGATATGAGAAAAGAAATACAGGGAGTGGATGAAGTGAATAAAAGTGAATAATTAGGAAAAAGAAAATGAGAAACAAGACAAGAATGTCAGAAAGTGAAGAAACCAGTTCAGTTCAGCTTCTGTAGGAAGGCTGGACCAGGAGTGTGTGGAAAAATCCAGATGGAAGGGATCATATCTCCACGTCAGAGAAATGGACAACTATGCCCTGGTTGGACTGAGAAAACAGGAAGGGCTAAAGTAGAAAACACTGAACTGAAGGGCCCAGAAAAATATTTTAAGTCAAAGGGAAGTCTTTTAGCAAGGATTTCCCCCGAACTTAATAAAACCTGGCTGTATAATTAATCGTGCACCTTAAATTACAGGTAATTTAAGATCCTCTGGCCACAGTGAGGAAGCTGGCGTACTCTATAGTTTGACTGATGGAGACAGGCAGTGAAGAACAGCCCAGAACACAGGGCAGCATCACCTCTTCAGGCTATTTCCCAACTAGGAGGCCTTGTCTCTGATCCCTCAAGAATTGGCAGCAGAGGTGGGCAGAGGCCCTCCATGTGGAATACCTGGGACACTGTTTACTGTAGCAATCCTTATTGACTTCCTAGAGTTTACTAAGCAGTCCCCCAAAAGTAGTTTGGAGATTAATCAATGATTAAGCCCAAGTGAATTTAGGAGAATGCAGACGATAAGGGAATGATAAACATAAGAAAGAAAACACAGCATGTGAGGCTGGGAAAGGAGTGCGACAGCAAAGAATGAACCCCAGTCTTTTTTATTTTTTAGAGGTTTTTGATATAGGACGCATGCACTCGCCAGACAGATAGAAAGCAAGAAATCACCCTTCGGGGGTATGGCCACGCCGCAATCCCGTCTCCTCCATTCTCCTCTTGGGATCTTGGGCACGCACGCACACGCGCCCGGCGTGAGTATAAGCCACTGGGTCCAGGACTCGGACCGCAGTTGACATCCAGCAACATAGCCATTACGCTAACTGCTGTCCCCCCAGCGTGAATTTTAAGAAACCGGGTCTGGGACGCGAACCGTGGTCGACTACATGGGAGTCCAGCGACATAGCCATTACACTAACTGCTGGTCCCGAACCCCAGTCTTAATGCTCACTTAGTGTTTCTATCATGTGGAAGTCTAGCACACTCAAACACAATCAAAAGAACTGCAGTACAGGGCAATTGGAGAGAATCTCAGTGCTACTCACTTCTTTAGGAAATCTTGAAAGTCAGCTGGTAAGTCACTTGGGATGGTGACAGGGTACTCTCCACATTCTTGTCCTTGGCTGAGAGAGAGCAGCAGGAGGCCAAGACGCCAAATGTCACCTTTCTTCCCTGTTTTATAAGGCAGGGCATTGTCACTGAAGCGAACTCGGGTTTGTTCGAACACGTCCTCCTTGCAAATGTCTGCTAGGCGCTTAGAAATGCTGTAGTCCGTGATCTTGATGGTGCCCTCCGCATCCACCAAGACATTCGATGCACTTAGGACCTTGTGCACCACGGAATTGCTATGCAGATAATCGAGGCCTGACAGGAGCTGAGCTGCGTACCTGCGAAGCTGATGCACAGGGATGGGGCCCGAGTGGCTCAGGTGGGCAGCGAGAGAGACCCCACTAATGTGCTCCACTAAAATGTCCACCACAATGGAGTTATCTTGTTCTTTGAGATTCATTGCAAAGTAGCGTACCACATTTGGATGGCTCAGTTTCACCAGTGAGTTGAATTCTGTCTCTACTCCTTGAATCTAATCATAAGGATACAAAAAAACAAAATAGGTTGAGCATTCCTAAACTGAAAATCCCAAAACTAAAATGCTCTGTGCTGTGTAGAGGGAGCAGGAACCTATATGGCTGACTATGGCTCCTGTCCCAGTGGCTTGAAAAACATGTCAGACACATGTGCACATATTCCTTGCATAGTGATGGGAGGAAGGAACAGAGAAGGGATTACAGGATGACCAAGCACACTGGAGGGTGCATGTACTCTCTCTCTCTGGTGCATGTATGTGCCTTCTGACATTAAAAAAAAAAAGAAGCTCTAAAATCCAAAAGTTTCTGAGTACTGGGCATGATACCACTAGTACAAAGTTCTATACCTGACCTCATGTGACAGATCACAGTCAAAACACTGCAATATAAATATATCGTATAAAATTACCTTCAGGCAGGACCAGCAGATATTACAATTACGTTGCTAGACTCCCATGTAGTCAATCGGTTTGAGTCCTGGACCTGGAGGCTTAAAATATGCTGGGCACATATGTGCATGCCCAAAATCTCAAAAGGAGAATGGATTGAGGTGTGGCCATCCCTCTGTGGGGATCATTTTTCACTGTCTCTCTGGCAAATGCATGCACCCAATAGCAAAAATCTCCCTTAAAAAATGTATTTTCAGGCTATGTGTGTATTAGGTGTATATAAAACAAAAATACATTTCATGTTTACACTTGGATTCTATCTCCCAAGATATCTCATTATATATATGAATATCCCAAACTTCAAAAACATCTGAAATCCAAAACACTTCTGGTCCTGAGCATTTCAGATAAGCAATACTCAACCTGCATTGGGTCAATCAGCATTAAATGGCATTTTACTTTAAAAGTGAAGTATTTGCTGTAAAATAACTTACACATGAGAGAAGAATGAATATGTCCTGAATCAAATCCTCCCTTGAATCATATGGTTAACTTCCAGTTCATCAAGATGAAAAAAATTTAGTTAGTTCTCAGCTTCTTTAATCTTATATCCTAGTATATGAATCCCATGAAATTAGTGAATAGCTTTTTTTAGATTTTTGCTATAGGGTACATGTGCTCGCCAGAGAGAGAGAGAGAGAGAAACAGAGAAAAAGAAATCACACCCCAGGGAGGATGGTCTCACCACAATCCCTTCTTTTCCATTCTCCTCTCCTCTCCAGATCTTGGGTACACATGCGCATGCGCACACGCACACACACACACACACACACACACACACACACACACCCTTATTGACTTCCTAGAGTTTACTAAGCAGTCCCCCAAAAGTAGTTTGGAGATTAATCAATGATTAAGCCCAAGTGAATTTAGGAGAATGCAGACGATAAGGGAATGATAAACATAAGAAAGAAAACACAGCATGTGAGGCTGGGAAAGGAGTGCGACAGCAAAGAATGAACCCCAGTCTTTTTTATTTTTTAGAGGTTTTTGATATAGGACGCATGCACTCGCCAGACAGATAGAAAGCAAGAAATCACCCATCGGGGGGATGGCCACGCCGCAATCCCGTCTCCTCCATTCTCCTCTTGGGATCTTGGGCACGCACGCACACGCGCCCGGCGTGAGTATAAGCCACTGGGTCCAGGACTCGGACCGCAGTTGACATCCAGCAACATAGCCATTACGCTAACTGCTGTCCCCCCAGCGTGAATTTTAAGCAACCGGGTCTGGGATGCGAACCGTGGTCGACTACATGGGAGTCCAGCGACATAGCCATTACACTAACTGCTGGTCCCGAACCCCAGTCTTAATGCTCACTTAGTGTTTCTATCATGTGGAAGTCTAGCACACTCAAACACAATCAAAAGAACTGCAGTACAGGGCAATTGGAGAGAATCTCAGTGCTACTCACTTCTTTAGGAAATCTTGAAAGTCAGCTGGTAAGTCACTTGGGATGGTGACAGGGTACTCTCCACATTCTTGTCCTTGGCTGAGAGAGAGCAGCAGGAGGCCAAGACGCCAAATGTCACCTTTCTTCCCTGTTTTATAAGGCAGGGCATTGTCACTGAAGCGAACTCGGGTTTGTTCGAACACGTCCTCCTTGCAAATGTCTGCTAGGCGCTTAGAAATGCTGTAGTCCGTGATCTTGATGGTGCCCTCCGCATCCACCAAGACATTCGATGCACTTAGGACCTTGTGCACCACGGAATTGCTATGCAGATAATCGAGGCCTGACAGGAGCTGAGCTGCGTACCTGCGAAGCTGATGCAAAGGGATGGGGCCCGAGTGGCTCAGGTAGGCAGGCCTCCACTAAAATGTCCACCACAATGGAGTTATCTTGTTCTTTGAGATTCATTGCAAAGTAGCGTACCACATTTGGATGGCTCAGTTTCACCAGTGAGTTGAATTCTGTCTCTACTCCTTGAATCTAATCATAAGGATACAAAAAAACAAAATAGGTTGAGCATTCCTAAACTGAAAATCCCAAAACTAAAATGCTCTGTGCTGTGTAGAGGGAGCAGGAACCTATATGGCTGACTATGGCTCCTGTCCCAGTGGCTTGAAAAACATGTCAGACACATGTGCACATATTCCTTGCATAGTGATGGGAGGAAGGAACAGAGAAGGGATTACAGGATGACCAAGCACACTGGAGGGTGCATGTACTCTCTCTCTCTGGTGCATGTATGTGCCTTCTGACATTAAAAAAAAAAAAGAAGCTCTAAAATCCAAAAGTTTCTGAGTACTGGGCATGATACCACTAGTACAAAGTTCTATACCTGACCTCATGTGACAGATCACAGTCAAAACACTGCAATATAAATATATCGTATAAAATTACCTTCAGGCAGGACCAGCAGATATTACAATTACGTTGCTAGACTCCCATGTAGTCAATCGGTTTGAGTCCTGGACCTGGAGGCTTAAAATATGCTGGGCACATATGTGCATGCCCAAAATCTCAAAAGGAGAATGGATTGAGGTGTGGCCATCCCTCTGTGGGGATCATTTTTCACTGTCTCTCTGGCAAATGCATGCACCCAATAGCAAAAATCTCCCTTAAAAAATGTATTTTCAGGCTATGTGTGTATTAGGTGTATATAAAACAAAAATACATTTCATGTTTACACTTGGATTCTATCTCCCAAGATATCTCATTATATATATGAATATCCCAAACTTCAAAAACATCTGAAATCCAAAACACTTCTGGTCCTGAGCATTTCAGATAAGCAATACTCAACCTGCATTGGGTCAATCAGCATTAAATGGCATTTTACTTTAAAAGTGAAGTATTTGCTGTAAAATAACTTACACATGAGAGAAGAATGAATATGTCCTGAATCAAATCCTCCCTTGAATCATATGGTTAACTTCCAGTTCATCAAGATGAAAAAAATTTAGTTAGTTCTCAGCTTCTTTAATCTTATATCCTAGTATATGAATCCCATGAAATTAGTGAATAGCTTTTTTTAGATTTTTGCTATAGGGTACATGTGCTCGCCAGAGAGAGAGAGAGAGAGAAACAGAGAAAAAGAAATCACACCCCAGGGAGGATGGTCTCACCACAATCCCTTCTTTTCCATTCTCCTCTCCTCTCCAGATCTTGGGTACACATGCGCATGCGCACACGCACACACACACACACACACACACACACACACACACACCGGGTGTGAGGTTTAAGCCACCAGGTCTAGGACTTGAACCACAATCAACTACATGGGAGTCCAGTGACATAACCACTACATCATTTGCTGGTCCCAGGGAACAGCTTTTAAAATCAATTTTTTTTGAGACGTGATCACTTTTAAAAGAAAAAAAATTTAAAGAATTATTTTATTTCATTTATCATCATCACTATTATTTGCTTAATTTGACCAGAGAGAGAGAGAGAAAGGGAAAGTAGGAAAGCAAGCCTCCAGGTCTGGGACTTCAATCACAGTTGACCATATGGGAGTCCAGTGCCTTAACCACTCTGCCACCTGGCAGCCCCTAAAAGAAACATTTTAAAATAACCTTTAAAAAAATGATAGTGGGACCAGCAGTTAGCATAATGGCTATGTTGTTGAACTCCCATGTAGTTGACCGTGGTTCAAGTCCCAGACCTGGTGGCTTAAACTCATGCCGAGTGCATGTGCATGCGTGCCCAAGATCCCGAGAAGAGAATGGAGGAGAAGGGATTGCGGTGTGCCATTCCCCCTGGGGGGTGATTTCTCGCTTTCTCTCTCTCTCTCTTTCTGCGAGCACACGTGCCCTATAGCAAAAACCTTTAAAAAAAAGATAGTGTGTGATATACATATGCAAGTTCATGAGAGAGAGAGAGGAGAGAAGAGATAGAGAGAAGGTGAGAGACAGAAGCATCCCTGACATCTTGTCATCTCCGAACCCCTTTCCCCACACTCCAGCTCCTTAGGTGCCTGGTATGTTTTCACACTGACCTGGGGATCTGAACCCACAGTCAGACACATGGCTTCCAAACTTACAGGACACTTGTATTACTACTGTACCACAGCAGCTGCACTTAATATGACCACTTACTATTATAATATAGATAACTGTCAAATTTTTAAAAATTAACATAAAGGGATAAAACCCATAAATGGTATCTCTGGTCACTGCCCAAAGATAACTTAAGCTTTAGTGTATTTACTTTCAGTTTTTTTCTGTATATAAATATATATACATTTATAAACACTATGCTCTTCTTACTGTTTTATAAGTTACTATGTAACACTGTAATATGTGATATCAAATGTTCTCTTTACACTTGATATTATATATTACCTTTAAAAGTCTCCATTCTCCCAAAACTTACTTTTAAGATAATATTTCAAAAGAGTAGACCAAAATATAAATCATTCCAAAAAGCACAATTATGAAATAATATCTGGTTCCAATTGGAAAGATGGTTGTTAATGCCATAATGAGGGCAGAAAAGGGAGGTTTTGAGAAGGGAGTGTGACAATTTTGACAAGATGGTGAAGGTTCTGGAAGAGGAAGCAAGGTGCTGGAAAAACTCTGGCAAAGAGGTGTTAGTCTCTCATGGTTCTTCCAGATCATCCTTGCCAGCCAATCAAATGTAAACCTATCTGTTTTTCCTCTCCTAAAGCTCAAGATTAGGCCTTTTGCTCAGCCAGCCAACCGGGATGCCTACCTGTTTTTTGCACTTATCAATCTTCTCTCTTTCTTGACTTGTAAGGAATGGACCCATTTTTTTCTGCCATTGAAGAACCCATTCATACAATAAAACAAAGCCACCAGTGGCTGTTTCCAAAGCATTGTAAACCAATTTTCCAAGCTGCTCGTCACTACCTGCACATTAAACAGAAAGTGTAATTAGATCTCACCGCGTTTTCTGTGGAGGAAAAGAGGAATTGGAGACATACATTCATTTGTTCAACAATGGGCGATGTTGTGCTAACTATGAAAAATAAGATTTTGTATAATACATGTCCTTTTTGAAGCCAGTGTTTAATATTTAACAATGTATTCTGAATCCTCGAAATTAATTTCTATAAAAGGACAAGAACCAATAATGAGATAGTAAGAGGCCCACATTTTATGCTCCCAGGCATCGTTCACAATGCTCTCATAGCTTATCCACCACTGCGGACTGTGCCTGCTGGTGCCCCTCCACACAGCTACACATCAGCTAACAATGGAAAGAATTTGGAAATCAACAACAATCGATTGCGATTATGCCATCTTTGTAGATCAGTGTGAATAGTATAATTGGGTCTTAGTGATATGAACATTTGAAGACATTGATGACGTTTTAAATACAAAATCTGAATATCCTTAGTAAATACAAAGTGGCCAATGACTGCAGGGAAAGAAATCCAGAAATAAAATTTAAATTTGAGGCGAGAAAGTAAGACACGTTTATTTAGTGATAGGCATGTGATTTCCACTTGTACCTAGGAGAGCTAAATATCTGTAACACCCCAAATTCTCCTATAAAAATGTTTTCACTAGACTATAATAGAAAATTATCAAAATATTGGGAAAGAAGGGAAAAAATCATTATTTTACTTTTTATTTTTGTCTCTCTTCTTTTTTTCCCCCTTTATTTACCAAATTACAGTGCTGCTGGCACTACTGACACTTTGGACCAGGTAATCCCCTGCTGTAGGAGACTGTCCGTGCCCGGGAGAGGTTCAGC